TGTACTAGGCCTAAGAAAGAAGATGCATTTTGTACCAGGTTTGTTTTTTCTCTTTTTTGTATTTTCCACTTATTGACTCTCTTTGGCTTCCATGAAATGAGATATTAAGGGTAAGAGCAGGGTTAATGCTGGGAAGCTTGGTCCAAGGGGATTAGTTTTACCACCTTTGATATATTAAGGTTCCAGACCCCATGGCTCAGCTCATAGGCTTCCACAGAACATTTTGAAGCAAAAATAAACTAATGCCAAAGAGTAGCTTCATCTGGAATTTCTCTGCTTTGTGTCACCCCTTAACATATATGTTATGAATGACTATTAAATTAGTTTATAATTATATGTTTGCTTATAAGTGTTTACTCCTATAAATATTATTTTCTTGCCTTTTTTAACTTAGAGAAAATACATCAATATATTTTAGCTATGGAAGTGTGAATATTTTTATTATACGTTAAGTTCTGGGGTACATGTGCATAACGTGCAGGTTTGTTACATGTGCCATGGTGGTTTGATGTGTCCATCACCCAATCATCTGCATTATTTCTCCTAATGCTATCCTTCCCCAATCCACACACCCACTGCTATTCCTCCCCCAGCCCCCTGCCCCTCAACAGGCCCTAGTGTCTTATGTTCCACTCCCTGTGACCATGTGTTCTCATTGTTCAATACCCACTTATGAGTGAGAACATGTGGTATTTGGTTTTCTGTTCTTCTTGTGTCAGTTTGGTGAGAATGATCATTTCCAGCTTCATCCAGGTCCCTGTAAAAGACATGAACTGATCCTTTTTACGGCTGCATAGTATTCCATGGTATATATATATGCCACATTTTATTTATCGAGTCTATCATTGATGGGAATTTAAATTTGTTCCAAGTCTTTGCTATTGTGAACAGTGTTGCAATAAACATACGTGTGCATTGTCTTTATAATAAAATTATTTAGAATCCTTTGGGTATATACCCAGTAATTAGATAGCTGGGTCAAATCATATTTCTATTTCTAGATCCTTGAGGAATCACCACAGTGTCTTCCATAATGGTTAAATTAATTTACACTCCCACCATCAGTGTAAAATTGTTCCTATTTCCTGCATCCTCTTCAGCATCTGTTGTCTCCTGACTTTTTAATGATCACCATTCTAACTGGCATGAGATGGTATCTCAATGTGGTTTCATTTGCATTTTTCTAATGACCAGTGATGAGCTTTTTTCCATATGTTTGTTGGCTGCATAAACGTTATCTTTTGAGAAGTGTCTGTTCATATCCTTTGCCCACTTTTTGATAGCATTTTTTTTTTCTTCTTGGAAATCTGTTTAAGATCTTTGTAAATTCTGGATATTAGCCCTTTTTTAGATGGGTAGTTTGTAAAATTTTTTTCCCATTCTGTTGGTTGCTGATTCACTCTAATAATAGTTTCTTTTGCTATACAGAAGCTCTTTAGTTTACTTAGATCTCATTTGTCTATTTTGGTTTTTGTTACCATTGCTTTTGGTGTTTTAGTCATGAAGTCTTTACCCATACCTATGTCCTGAATGGTATTGCTTAGGTTTTCTTCTAGGGTTTTTATGGTGTTAGGTCTTATGTTTAAATCTTTAATCCATCTGGAGTTAATTTTTGTATAAGGTCTAATGAAGGGATCCAGTTTCAGCTTTCTGTTTATGGCTAGTCAGATTTCCTAACACCATTTATGAAATAAGGATTCCTTTTCCCATTGCTTGTTTTTATCAGCTTTGTCCAAGATTAGATGGCTATAGATGTGTGTCATTGTTTCTGAGGCCTCTATTCTGTTGCATTGGTCTGTATCTCTGTTTTGGTACCAGTACCATGCTGTTTTGATTACTGTAACATTGTAGTATATTTTTAAGTCATCAACTAATGGGTAAAATAAACAGCATCAGAATGGCAAGGTCAAATTCACACATAACAATAATAATCTTAAATGTAAATGCGCTAAATGCCCCAATCAAAAGACACAGACTGGCAAATTGGATAAAGAGTCAAGACCCATCAGTGTGTTGTATTCAGGAGGCCTATCTCATGTGCAAAGACACATGAGGGATGGAGGAAGGTTTACCAAGCAAATGGAGAGCAAAAAAAGCAGGAGTTGCAATCCTAGTCTCTGATAAAATAGACTTTAAACCAACAAACATCCAAAGAGACAAAGAAGGGCGTTACATAATGGCAAAGGGATCAATGCAATGAGAAAGAGCTAACCACCCTAAATATATATGCACCCAATACCAGAGCACCCAGATACATAAAGCAAGTTCTTAATGACCAACAAACAGACTTAGACTTCCACATAATAATGATAGGAGACTTTAATACCCCACTGCAATGTTAGACAGATCAATGAGACAGACAATTAACAAGCATATCCAGGAACTGAACTCAGGTCTGGACCATGTGGACCTATTAGACATGTACAGACCTCCCCACCCCAAATGCACAGAATACATACTCTTCTCAGCACCACATCACACTTATTCTAAAATTGGCCACATAATTGGAAGTAAAACACTCCTTAGCAAATTCAAAAGAACAGAAATCATAACAGTCTCTCAGACTGCAGTGCAATTAAATTTGAACTTTGGATTAAGAAATTCACTGTAAACCACACAACTACATGGAAACTGAACAACCTGCTCCTGAATGTGGCTACTGGATAAATAATGAAATGAAGACAGATAAAGATGTTCTTCAAAACCAATGAGAATGAAGACACAAAGCACTGGAGTCTCTAGGACACATTTAATGCAATGTCTAGAGAGAAATTTATAGCACTAAATGCCCACAAGATATGCAAGGAAAGATCTAAAATTTAGACCCTAACTTCACAATTAAAAGAACTAGAGGAGCAAGATCAAACAAATTCAAAAACTAGCAGAAGACAAGAAATAACTAAGATCAAAACAGAACTGAAGGAGGTAGAGACACAAAAAACCCTTCAAAAAAATCGGTAAATCCAGGATCTGGGTTTTTGAAAAGATCAACAAAATAGGAAGTATGAATTTTTTTCTGGCAACAGATTGTAAGTTTCTTAAAGGAAGGGGCCATTTGTTTCCTTGATGTTTCCCAAAGAACTTGGCATAGTGTCTTATACTTCATATTTATTTAGTAAGAACTTAATATTTAGTGGATTAATGAATGACTGACTGTTTTCCAAGAATGTCTCACTCTTTTGTTTGATTTTATGGTAGCACCCAGATGTCCGGGCTGAGTACTTTCTCTATCACTGCTAGAAGTGAGTAGAAAGCTTCAGACAGACGCCTTGATACCAGAAAGTGTCCTCTACTCCTATATTGTTGGTAAAAGCAGCAAAGGAGAAAGAACTTACAGAGTGCCTACATAAATTGGTTATGAGTAACATATAAACAATGAACAACAAACTGTGGAAGGCCGCAGTAGGCCTCTGAGGAGGAAAGCCTCTCCATGCCTCATGTTCCGGTGCAGGCTGACCTCGGCCCTATTATCATAAACGTTGTGCTCAAGGGCATAAACCCCTTCTTAGCACTAGGATGTAGCCAGACTTGTAGGCTCCTTGTAAGCTCTGCGTTCCATCTGCTGTACATAGATAATAAGTTAAAGAAAACCACATGTTCTTGTTTTGTAAAACTCCCAAACTGCCACTGTTATCAATCCTTAGGATGACACACCAGTTCCAGCTCACTGATTCAGTTCCTTCCAGCTCACTGATTTACTCCACCATCACGTCACTGTCTCCCCACCATCACTCCACCCCTATCTTATAGATCGAAGTGATTGTAACCAATAAATAGTGTAGATCATCAGAGCTTGGGGCCTTCACTGCCTCCTCCAGAGTAATAAGTGATGGCCCCCTGGTCCCACTCTTTGTACTCTTAATCTGTCTTTTTCTCATTCCTTTATCACCCTTTAACTTGGGGTACCCACTGGAGATGTAGGGCTGGTTCCCTACATTCTGGTGCCCAACGTGGACTCATGGATTCCTGCATTCTGGAACCCAGTGTGTGGGGCTTATGGATTCCCTACACTACATAAATCAGATAATGGCCATGTGTGTGAAAATGTGATTTACAAAGCTTGACAAGGGAAACATAACTAACCTACATATGAGAAAACCTCAGCAATTATGGGTGGTTCTAAACATAAAGACATGGCTCTTACTGGAGTAACTGATATGAAGAGATGGTTCACAGAGCAGATAAAACCTTATTAAATGTCTAAATATAAGATCTATTAGGAAAGTTTTAAGGATTTAACTGGAGAAGGGAACATGATAATATAAGGAAAGAAGACATTTTCCACAAACAATTTAACCTTAACAATGAACTTAAGTAAAGCAAAACACTATGTAACATATTAAAAGACTATAGATTATTTCTTAAATTTTTAACAACTTCATTTGATTAGAAATAGACTCGTGTAGATAGCAAAAGGAAGTAGATAATTGCCTCAGTATAAAATAAATAATATTTGTAGATGTCAAAAATTAAAATGAGTCGTCTTGGGAGAAAAAACATTCCTTTTTGCTTAATGGACATTTTTAGAGAGGATATGGAGACCACTTATGAGAGATTTTTCAAGGTTTAATAAGGTATCCTCTAGAGATCTTCCAAAACTATAATTTCGTGAAATAAAAAAGTCACTATTCAAGAGAAGATGTTTCAGATGTAATTGTCTCTTGAACTCCATCTTGTTTCTGCACGCTTTAACATTATTGTCTTGTCCCCTCTGTGGGTATTAATGAGAAGACACTTAAGATAAAATGAAGAGCTGTACTGCTTTAAACACTTTATCCCAGACTGTGAGGCGCAGCTTAAAGAACTACATAAGCAAAAAGAAAAGAGGCTACTCTATGGATTTAATCAGGTTGAATGAATAATTATGAAATGAGGCTTGATTTGTCCTCAAGGTACTCTTTTTCAGCCAAAAAAAATCTCTATATTACTTTGTGGATTATACTTATTTTTCATTAATTTATCATGTTAAGTGTAAAAATTCAAACAAGTAGAAGTCTATGGTGCTTGATCAGCAGCACATATACTAAAATTGGAATCATACAGAGAAGAGCATGGCCTCTGTATAATGATGTCACACAAATTTGTGAAATGTTCCATATTTTTGCACCTGAACAGTACTGGGTCCCTGAAAACATCTAGAAAAGAAGTCTAGTAACTGTACTTACTGTATACCACAGTTAGAGAAATACCCAAACAAAGAGATAAGAAAGAACCAACACAAGAATACTGGCAACTCAAATGTCCAAAATGTCTCATGTCATCCAACTGACCACACTAGTTCTCAAACAAGTGTCTTAACAGAGTTGAGACGGCTGAAATGACTGAAATAGAATTCACAATACGGATAGGAATGAAGAATGACAAAAACCAATCCAAGGACACTAACAATATAATAAAATTATACAGAAGCTGACAGATGAAATAGCCAGTATAATAAAAAAAACCTAAATGTCCTATAGAGCTGAAAAACACACTACAAGAATTTCACAGTGCAATCATAAGTATTACTAGCAGAATATACCAAGCTGAGGAAGGAATCTCAGAGCTGGGAGACCAGTTCTCTGAAATAATACAATCAGATAAGAACAAAGAGAAAAGAATGAAAAGGAATGAACAAAACCTCTGAGAATTATGACATTATGTAAGAAGGCTAAATATATGAATCAGTGGCATCTCTGAAAAAGGTGGGGAGAAAGTAAGCAACTTGGAACACATATTTTGGGATATTGTCTATGATAGCTTCCCCAGCCTCACTAGGTGGCCAACATTCAGATTCAGGAAATACAGAAAATCCTTTCAAGATTCTACACAGGATCATCCCAAAGACACACAGTCATCAGATTTTCCAAAGTTGAAATTAAAGAAGAGTGTCAAAGGCAGAGATGAGCTACAAGTAGATTTCCATCAAACTAACAGTGGACCTTTCAGCAGGAACCCTACAAGCCAGAAGAGACTGGGGGCCTACATTCAACATTCTTATAGGGGAAAAAAAATCAACAATTGGAAATTTCATATCCAGCCAAACTAAGCTTCCTAAGTGAAGGAGAAATAAGACCATTTTCAGACAGGCAAATACTAAAGGAATTCATTACCCCTAGACCTGTCTTACAAGAACTCTTGGAAAGAAGCACTAAATATGGAAACAAAAGACAATTACCAGTCAATAAAAAACATGTTGAAGTACACAGACAACTGACACTACAAAACAACCATATAAGCAAATCTGCATAATGACCAGCTAACAAAAAAAAAATAGTATAAAATCCACACCAAATTAACCTTGAATGTAAATGGACTAAAGCCCCACTTAAAAGGCACAGAGTGGTAAACTAAAAAAGCAAGAACCAATGGTATGGTATCTTCAAGAGACCCATCTGACATGCAATGCCACCTATAGGCTCAAAAAAAAAAAAAAAAAAAAAAAAAAAAAAGAAAAGAAAAAAAAGGAGAGATGGAGGAAAATCTACCAAGTAAATGGAAATCAGAAAAAAAGTAGAAGTGGCAATCCTAATTTCAGACAAAACAGACTTTAAAGCAACAAAGACCAAAAAAGACAGAAAAGGGCATTACATAATGGTAAAGGTTTCAATTCAGCAAGAAGACCTAACTGTCTTAAGTACATATACACCCAACACAGGAGCACCTAGATTCATAAAGCAAGTTCTTAGAGACCTACAAAGAGACTTAGACAACCACACAATAATAGTGGGAGACTTCAACACTCCACTGACAGTATTAGATCACTTTAGCAGAAAATTAACAAAGATGTTCAGGACTTGAACTAAAAACTGGAACAAATGGTTCTAACAGACATTTACAAAAGTCTTCACCCCCAAACAACAGAATAAACATTCTTCTTACTGCCACTTGGCACATACTCTAAAACTGACCACACTATCAAACATAAAATAATGCTCAGCAAATGCATAAAACCCCACAAAATTATATCAACCACACTTTCAGACCACAGTCAAATAAAAATGGAAATCAAGTCTAAGAAAATGGCCCCAACCATACAATTACATAGAAATGAACAACCTGCTCCTGAATAACTTTGGGGTAAATAATGAAATTAAGGCAGAAATCAAGAAGTTATTTGAAACTAATGAGGACAAAGATACAATGTATCAGAATCACTGGAAGACAAATAGGGCAGTCTTAAAAGGGAAATTTATAGCACCAAATGCCCACATCAAAAAGTTAGGAAGATCTACAATTAATGACCTAACATCACAACTAAAAGAGCTAGAGAAGCAAGAGCAAACCAACCACAAAAAAAATCTGCAGAAAACAAAAAATAAGCAAAATCAGAGTTGAACTGAGGACAATTGAGACACAAAAAACCATTGAAAAGATCAGCAAATCTAGAAGTTGGTGTTTTGAAAATATTAATAAGATAAAGTCCTACCTAGATTAATAAAGCAGAAAAGAGAGAAAATCCAAATAAACAGAAACAACAAAAGGAATGGCATCACTTACTCTACAGAAATACAAATAACCATCAGAGACTACTAAGAACACTTCTATGCAAACCAACAATCTAGAAGACAAAAATACATGCCTGGAAACATACACTCTCAAAACTGAACCAGGAAGAAATTGAATCCTAAATAGACCAATAACATAAGACCTAACACCATAAAAACCCTAGAGGAAAATCTAGGCAAAACCATTCAGGACGTAGGTGTAGGCAAGGACTTCATGACCAAAACACCAAAAGCATTGACAACAAAAGCCAAAATAGACAAATGGG